GGGCAGTGCCAGGCTGGGGCAGTGGGGCTGGGGCAGTGGGGCTGGGGGCTTTGGCAGCTCCCACTGACAGCCAGGCTGGGCTGGGCCAGACCCCCTGGGCACCGCTGGAATTGGTTAAAGGCCTTTGCCCACAGCACAAAGCTGGGTGTTCCCACCCTGGTGCTCAGTGGCTGAGCTGGAGCAGAGCCAGTGGATCCATCGGACAGAGGGCAGGGATTGACTGGAGCTGGATGTGCCTGAGAGGCCACGTTCTCTAGGGAGTGTTCTGGAGTGACCTGAAGTTACTGACTTTGTCAGGACCTGACACCCTGAACACTTCTGGAAGTGCTTACTTTTTGACTGTCCTCATTTGTGTCTTTTGTTCACTTGTTCTAGAAGTGATGTTGTAAAATGCAAATTGAAATGAGAAACAGGAGATGTTATATACCCTTTATAAAAAGATGACACTTGCTCTGCAGTGTCCCTGGTGCATTACTAAACCAAGAACAGCGTTATCTCCCACTTCTAGAAGATGCCTGAAATCCCAGCACAAAGTGGGGTAAGCATAGGACAGGAAGCTTAAGTCCAATTCTTATAAATAACATTCTACTAATAAATTGGGTCATGCTATCCATAAGTAAAGAGAATTGACATATAAACAAACTCTCCAGGGTTTGATCTCCTGGGCATGTTCTCACACCCAGCCCTGCCCTGCCTTTGTTGTTCTTTTCAGTGCAAATATTCTATGATACAGTATCTGCCTAAGGCTGGTGATGACTGATGTCCTGTACAGGCACTGCCTGAGTGACTCTGTGGGGCTGATGGAACTCTGGTGGTTGCAGTGGTGGAGACAAAACTCATTTTTCTCCTGGAGGTCCCCCCTGGAAGGGAAAGCCTGTTCATTCCAGCTCCCCTGGACTGGACTCCCTGACCCCTGCAAACATGGAAAGGCACAGGAGCACTGTGAGAAACCAAGGAGCATCTGTCCAGTGGTACCACAGTGCTGCACCTCCAGCATCACTCTGGCAAAGGTACATTCCCTAAGAGTGAACTAGAAAGAACTACCGAGACTGGTTAAATGTATGTGTATTGTGTAAGAGAACATTTCACAACTAGGCTGTTCTTGAGCACTGAGAAACTAGGAAACATCAAAATCTAAAACAGTTTACTTCAAATTTGAAAAAACCATTTCTCAATATATCTCAAGAAGTTGACAAAAGTGTCTCATTTTTAGTCAGCACAAAGCCACAGAACGACTTTTAAGGTAATTTAGACCATGTTAGTTCTACTGTAAATAATGTAAAGTTGTTTGGCAGTAGTTTTATGTTTATATCCCAGACAGTGTCAAATTCAGCTCCTGCAACTGATACTTGGTGAAGTTGATATCAAATTGTAATTTACATTGTTAGGAAAACTATTAAAAATAGTGTAGTTAGTTTTACTACTGAGAAATAGCTGCTGGACAGCACACACATTGCTACTGATACTGTTTGGATTCTTTAAAAAAGGTTAATAAAATACAAGTAAGGTAGAAAATAGGATTAAAAAGCATTGGTTTGGGTACAAGTTTTTTTGAACTGGGTGGAGCAATAAGAAACCAGAAAAACACATTGCACATACGTGCACCCTCTGTATAAAGACAAACATACAAAGTGGGAAACTGGTGGTGCACGGGGTAGTACACTCAAGTCTCTGATGCTGTAAACTTGAAATCCTAATTTTATCAAAAAGGGGAACTGAGTCTGGTTCCATTTTTGAGTCCCCATGGGTTAGTTGCAGATTACCCCTGGTTTGGCACAGCACACTTTTAAGAGGCAGCTTCTGCTCAAGGGACCCTGGGACTGGAAAATGAGGCATAAAATGTGTCAAGACCAGGTGCAGGGGGAGAGTGGGAGCAGTGGCCCTACCACCTACTTGGAATTAGCCAATACTGTTAGTCCTGCACTCTCATGACTATTAACTGTTTCTCTATTTGCAAAATCAGGCTGATTTAAGTAAAAGCTCTGTTGTTTACCATAGCTAACTAAGCCAGTATCAGAGACTGTGCAGACTGAGATTTCTAATTTAAATCTATTCAGATTTAGCTCAAGCTGATTCCTAGCAGGTGTAAACTAAACCAAAACAAGAGCATCTTCAGGAGTTTGTGGTCAGCATAACTAAAACAGGTTACTTAATGGAGTAAGTCAAATATTGGATTAAGTCTTCTTAACACAGGGAATGTAATGTAAGTAATATAAGAGGAAATAACACTAAAATCGAACATGACATAGGCAGAAGAAACTAAGTAATGGTTAGAACACAGGGGTTTTCATTGTTCTCTCAAAACATAAACCCTCTGAAATTAAATCCTTCCAAAAATGCCAAGTCTCATTATGGACCTGATTCTCAGTTTTTCATTCTTTTGGTTAAGGTCACAGAGGCTGGGTCAGTCAGGTCGTGGGGAGATGGCAGAGGGGAGCCCCACATTTGAGGAGCTGTAGTGGAAAGAACATGTAAGTCAGATGGTAAGACCCCTCTTCAAGTCTGTGATGCACAACAAATGGAGAGTCGTGTCTCAGACACAGGAAAGCCTCTGCTCCTGGGGGGCAGTTCCCTAAGGCCAGGAGTCCCAGCTCTGCTCTCCAGCTGGCCATGCTGCACTTCCCCTTTACGTGTACTGATTCCTTCAGAGAATTGTTAGGTTATTCTGCCTTATCAATCATACACTGTTCTACACTTTTTTCTCCCCAAATGTCACTTATGTTTATGTTTACTCTATATCTAGCATGCATTTTACAATCCATTTCCCACTTACCCTTTCTAGCTAAGGCAGAATGTTGGCTCTGGTGTTACCAATGGTACTACAGGAATCTATTCACTCTACTGTAACATACATATCCCATATCATAATTCAGAACTGTCCCACACATGGCAAAGAAAGAAAAGACATTACAGGGAAACTGTGTTTCTTCTTAAGGGAGTAAGTTGCATTTAGAAAGCTGAAGGCCTGATTCTGGAGTCATCATTCAGACAAAACACTTCATAATTTCAGTGGGAACACAGCTGGAATAAGGGTAGAACTGTGTTCTTAAAGTCTTAATTCCAAATCTTTTGTGTGTCCGTAACTCAGACAGGAAGATATTGGTCTGCAAATTGAAGAGAGCTGTTGTTTGGTGTTCGGTCTATCTGTAGTGCCAGAAGGGTTTGCAGTCCCAGAGTGGCTCTGGCTGAGGGTGGTTCTGAGCCCTCCCCTCTGGGTGCCAGGGCTGTGTGTGGAGCTCATGCAGGGCGGGCCATGCGGCTGCTGCGAGCGCGGCAGGACAGACAAAGCTTCAGCTTCTCAGACAAGGAAATGATGCAAAAACCATCGAGCAGCACTAACTCACAGACTAATTACAAACTAAATTGTGCTATATATTAGTATAAAAACATGTTTGAGTAAGAATGGCACTGGTTCAGAAGGAATTAGGACTTCCATCTTGGTTCTGTTCGGTCCACAGTGAAAGTGTTGTAGTACAGGCCTGCCCTGTTGCCTGAGCAACTTGTGACAGTGGCTTTTGGCCACAACCCCTTCCATTTCTTCCCTTTTTGAATCCACATTGTTGGTACATTCTGGGAGTAGCCCAAGTCAGGTCGGGTCACCTTTCCTAACGTGGCACCAGGATAGTTCGCTCTTATCCTCTGATATTTTTAAAATATCATTAATGTTTCCCTCTTCTGATTCTCAAAGCTGGTCAGTTTTAAGGATCATCTTCTCCTGTAGACACCATGAGACGCATTGCTACCGGTAGGTGGTCTGTCAAGCCTGCTAATTGGGTAATAAAGCTGAACTCTTCCACTTCCTGCAAAGGAAAACAAAAGTAAGAAAAGGAATTGAAAAATCCATCTATTCCAGCACACACCAGGCTCTGAACTACCTCAGAGCATTAGCAGAGGTGTGGAACCAGTCTGGCTTGGCTGGGCTCAGGATAAACTGTGCCACACAGACAGTCAGTGTGGTGCAGCTGCTGAGGTGAACCACTGGCAGGGTACTGGGATGAAATCTGCTGTACCTTTTCTTGCCATTGACAGTAACAGCTTGTTCTTCCCAACAGATTTATCCAAGCAGGTAGGGAGGCCCTCAGCTGGAGGAGGGGCTGGCTCTACCATCCTGGGCAGGGCATGCAGCTAAAAAGGAAACCTGTCTTCATTGGATTGAGGTGTTCAACTTGGGTGGGAATGTAATGCGACCAGGAATCCTGCTCCTTCTGTCTCTGAATTCCAGCCCTTGTTGTGGCATCATTTCATGTTTGTAAGCTGGATTTACCATAGAGGTGTGCCATGGGCATTTGTGCCTCTGAAACAGGAAGCCTTAAAAGAGTTTCCCTGCCAAGCTACTCTCACAGAGCACATGCAGAGAGAGCACAGACTGAGGTATCCTGCACTAAGCTATGCTGAACTGCTCTGCTGCCTGCTCTTCTACAGCAGCTGCAGTGCTAAATAGGTGTGAATGAGCTTCTCATTTCCATCATGGAATTCTGTACAATTCTGGCAAGGTCCTACTCTAGGAAGCAGTAGGACTCTACTGCACCCTGCAAGTTCTCCTTCTGGGCAGCTTGTGTCAGCTCCTGCCTGTGCATCGAGAGTGGGAACTTGGGTGGGTTCTCACAGGCACAAAACAACATCCACACACTTGAAAAGATTAAAAAATATTCAGACTGCAGGCACAGGAAAAGCATCTGGCAAAACACTCAGTCTGGCAGAAGTTTAAGGAGTGAAAATGAGGTTGGTGAGTTTAGAAGAGCAGCACATCTACCAGTGTTGCTGCTGGAATCCTTGAACTCAGCTTAACTTGGTTTGTAGTAGGTTTCCAATCAGTACTTGCATGCAAAAGTGGAAAACAGCAAAGTAGCAGGTCCTCCTTGGAGTATGATCTGAATCCAAGCAGAACAGGCTGCAGTGCCATTCAGACAAGTTCACTGTGTGAGTTACAGCTCTTTTGGACAAGTCAGGAACTCACCACTTTCCACTCCAGGTAGAGACCTTCTTCTGTGTACAGCATATAGTCAATCCTCCTCCCATTTCCCTTCAGTGATGCCTTCCTCCCTTTTTGACTGGAACTGTGGTTCTTGCTGGTGGGATAGACTAAGTATCCTTTTCTTCCTTCTTCACTTTCCAGCACCCTATTTCATTAAAAAAACAAAACCAAGCACTTTAAATGGTTTGCTCATTCTGTCCACCTGTGCATTACCCTGGATTCTCTCCAAATCCAATATGAGGCTGTCCTAACTGCTGACAGGGCTCTCAGAGCCTCAGGGCAGGCCTGGCATCAGTGGTGCTGTGCTGGTGGAGCCAGGAGCAGGGCCCTTGCCTGCCTGCCACCAGCAGGGTAGGGCAGCCCAGAGCCCTGCACTCATCTCCAGTGGCTGAAACTGGCAGAGGAAGAAACTGTTTCCTGGATTATTTTCGTACAGACCTGAGCACTTAGATACAAACCTCTCCATTCTGATCTGAGCAACTCCTTCTGAAACGACCACCAGCTTTACAGACAGGGTATGGATGAGAAAGGGTTTTCAGGAGCACCTTTGGGCATGTGGTGGTTGGTTTTGAGCAAGCTTCAGCATCAGATTACTGTGTCTTGGACCCCAAGCCTCACTTCACTAGAAATGACAGCCTAATATGTTTGACTCCTGTATGTGACACTCTCCAAATTCCTCCACAGGGATGGACTTACTCAACAGTGTGTTAGCACTGCCCCCACCTTGAAAGGAGATGACCTGGCCCAAGACCATCCACTGAAGCACTTAAAACTGAGAACTGGTTTTCTAAGTACCAGTCTCCAGGCAAATAAGATGCAGCTCTCCCGTTACAATTTTTAGTTTAAGTGCTTAAACCTGAACAGTAGGTTTTATAGAGAAGACTATTAAGGCCTCAAGCAACTTGATCTAACTCTGAAGTTATCCCAGCTTTGAACACGACTTTGGATCAGGAAGTGCACAAAGGCCCCTGTCGCTCCATTTTTATAGGTACTCCTGTGTTTTGCTGTTGTGTTGGATTTCAAAAGAATCTTGGCTTACCTTGTGTTCTCTTTCAAAGCTGTACCCAAGAGCACTGAGGGTGACAGACACATGGAATGCCCAGTGCCTGCCCTTGTCGGGGTGTGCAGAGGTGACCCCAAGCACAGCCAGGGCTGTGTGGCACAGCTGTGCTGCACAGGGACAGGCTGGGCTGTGGTTTTGCTTTCTGGCTTAAACACAAACAAACCACCTCCTCAAAAACCACTTTCCTTTACTTACCTGCCAAAACCTGAGCTCAGGGTTCTGTGGTTTCCCTTGTAAGAGTTGATTACGCCATTAAGCAACATCATCAACTGTCGCAGGAGAAACACTGAGCCATGAACTTGGGTCCTGGCAGGTACAAAGCCTTTAATTTCACCTTGGAGAAAAATAAGATATTTTTGATCACCCAGTTTTTGAGACTTGACTTGGATGGGTTTTATGGGGTTGGGTTTAGGAATTTTTTAATGCATGAATGTGAGAGTACAGGATGAAGGAATAACAAGGGACAAACACCAGACTCTCATGGTATGTTTTAATGTGTGAGATTCAAATGGCTTCTTTGTCAACTCTGGTCTCTTTGGAAGGACCTGAGTGGTGGCAGAGGGGCACTGGCTGCAGGTGATCAGGTCTCAGCAGTGTTATAATCTGTAAGTTTGGGTCAGTTGATACATACGAGAAGCACTTAATGTGCCTTCAGAAGGTAACGGACAAAATTCTGATCAGACAGTTATTTAATCAGAACTTTTCTTAACCTCCTCTGGACTTAGTGAGGTATTAAAGGTTCTTAGAGTTTACTGTAATCAGTTTCTGCAAGTAAACTTTCTTTCATGTGTTACTTGGTTTTAATAATAACTCACTATAAATTAGCTTACTCTCTGCACCCTATTTGCAAGATGATTCTACAAAGAGCTATTGCAAATGGTTCACTTCCTTAGATTGCTTTTCTAGGCTCAAGGAACCAAGTTCTTTGATGGGACTGACCTCTTTCAAAAGTTATATTTATATTTAGCAAAGATAATTAAGTAACAAAGTAGAAGAAACTGCTGATTAGCACTGCAGTACTACTGCAAAAAATCTTACTTGCATTAATTTAATAGATGATTTTTTTTTAGCTTCAATTATGTCTTTTATAAAGTCTGTGGATGCTGGGTATTCACTTAACCTGCACAACTGCTCACAGAAGAGAAATGTTCATTTCAAACACATGAAGGAAACAAATTGTAAATGTGCAGCATCTGCTGCTGTCTCAGACTGGTTCTGCTCTGCACAGGAGTTTGCTCTTTGTCCCTACAGGAAGCAGACACAAGTGTGACATCTGGCTCTGCTGTGCTAACAGTTCAACACTAATTGAGTGAACAGAATTAATTATGACTGAGTTGCTCAACTAAACCTGAATCTTGTTTCTTAGCTGTGCTGTGCTCATAGGCCTGACTCTGTTCAGGGTTCAGAGATGAAAATGGGCTTGGAGATGACAATCACTTTGTGAGATGGGATTATTTGTGAGCATTTCATGAAGCCTTTCTGAGCAGAAGCTTGTGTGGTTTCCAGCACTGTGGCAGGGCCCAGATTGTTACATCTATCTAATTAATTGTTCTATAATTATCAATGGCTTGCTCATTATTTGTACCAAGTATGTTGTTCCAGTCTGCTGTTTTACGTATGCTGCCCTTAACATGAAAGAGAGATTTAAGAACGAGTTGTTCTGCTGCTTTTATGGCCTAATTGTTTTAGTAATGTGAACTACTTAATTTTATTCATAAAGTAGAGAAGAGTGCTGATGAAGAAATAATTCTCTGGATAGCTTGCACTGCCAATCTAAATGTCTGTAAAGCTTGATTAAGGTTCATTATTGACAAATTTGAGAATGGATCAATTTAGGCAGTACCCTGGTTTGCTGTGTATATGAACAATATTTCTTAACTAGACAGTGCCCCACAGCTACTGTGCTATTTACCATTTAAATGTCTTTAAAGCCCAGATTCCATTAATTGCTTTACATTTCCCTGAATTTCCTGGCATTGTCCTGTTTCCAGCCCCGTGCAGAGTCAGGAGGGCTCCTCATCCTCCCATGGAAACGAGGGCTGCTCTCATACAGGAGCACATGGACATGAAGCACCCATGCAGAGCCCTGTTTCCCTGCAGAGCTGCAGGAAAAGCCAGTGGAAATTATGGTCTCATAGAGGGTTTTTTCATCAGTGCAAAAGAATTATAACACATTGCAGAAAACCGAAAGCCACACTTAGCAGGGAAAAAGTCTTACGTATATTCTGTTCCCAGGGCTCAGAATATTTTCCAGTTCTCACATCCTGAGGTGCTGTACATACACAGGGGTAGCAGAAGTAATATTCTTAAATCCTTATGGATCATTTGATGGCTCCCTATCCAATCAGTCCTATTTGTAGGTGGAACGTAATTGCTGAATACAAGTAACTCTTTAGGGAATAAACTACAATACCCCAAAAGTAATTTAGTGACACATTGTCTGAAAAGTACAGGGTTTATTTGGGTTTGTTTCTTTCATTTTGGGGGTTTTTTAGGTTGTGCTGGTTTGGGTTTTTTTTGGAACCATAAAATGGAATGTTATATCCACACAGAGATTTGCATTTGCAAACTTGATTGTAGGGCCAAATCATCTTATTTTTGCATTCCAGAAATGCCTTTCACATGTACCAAATTTATGTTTTCAACATATGAGTAGAACTGTTTGGAAATTTTGCAAGTTCTCAAATGTGCGAACTGGGACTTGCTGTAGCAAATCTTTATTTTGGACATAAACTAAGCCCAGACCTGATGTCTGGAATTCTGTTTGTTCAAACTGATACAAAGAAAACTTCAGGGGGTGACCTCATCTAACCTGTTCAACCACATGTCCATCTATTCCACACAGAGGTAAGTAAAAATGCCAGCATAAACTGCCTATAATGGACCATTTCCATTATGTGTGTCAACAGCAACATCAGGACAGACTTGCTAATTCAAATAACTTTCCCTCTGTAGTATTATTTTGGTAACAAACAGCTAGAACATCCTTTATAGTTAGTCATGATGATAATGTATTTAGTCCAGTAAACTCCCCTTTAAGGTAGAGAAGGTGCAAAAAGGATTGCTACATTCATTAAGTACTGCTCTAAAATTTACAAAGCTTATTAATTTCTCTCCACCGGAATATTGTTTAACAAACAGTACAGGTATTCAAGGAATTTATCCTAAGACTTTGGCAAGTTAAGGTTTTTTTGTATTTTTCATAACTCCACTAGCTCAAACCAAAGACACCTGTTTTTCAATATCAAACACTCCTTAACAGTAATGCTGCACTAGTCATCACTGAAAGATGTTAAGCCACATTCCTAGTTCTGTCTGATGTGCTATTTAATTGCTCTCTGTATCTATCTGTGAGCTGGGGGGTTTAGGTGTATTCAATTCTGCAAGCTTTCTAAATGGGTACTGTAAGCACTAGTTGGGTTGGGGATGGTGTTTTAAACTTCATGGGCTTTTTATCTGAGCAGAACTACACTTCCTTGTGCTGCAGTGAGCACAGAACTGGCTGCCTGCAGAAAGACTTTCAGACAAGCTGCCCACCCACCCTTTTTGGTAGTGCTTGGAGTTCTTGTCCTGTGGGCCTGTCCAGGCAGGACCAGCTCTGGAGACACACAGACACTGCAGCTGCTCTCAGCTCTTCATGCACTGCAGCCAACCCTTGACCTGGAGACACAGCCACTCTTCCTTTCCCTTTTTCCTCTTCCCCAAACACCCTCGAGTTAAACTTTGTCTTCCAGTCCTAAGCTACCCCTCAATTTGTGAAATGTTAAATAGCAAGTGATGAACTCCCTTTTTACATGACTGTCTAAAACATGTGGAAAGATTAGGAAATGCTTACTTCTGCAGGTTGTCTGGGGTGCACACTTCTTCATCATATAATCCTTCAGGATCCAACAAGGTGCCTGTGAACAGAAGGGGAGATGTGACTGCCCCAGCATTGCTCCTGTGCTGTGCTGGGGAGGCTCCCAGAGGCACAGCTGTGTCAAGGCAGGATCTGTGTGGGAGAGAGGGACTGCTCTGACTGAGAGCATGTTCTGTTCACTGCTCCTCTCCCCACACCTCCCTGCCCCCTGCCCCCTTTCAAAATGTTTCCACCCTTCCATTTTCTCAGCTCTGCTGTCTCTGATTTTTCTGTTACCACAGAGTAAAGCCCCATTATTAAACAGTTCCACTTATCTTTAGTATCTTCATAGTTATCACTGCTGCTCTAGAGACACTATTAATACCTGATCTAAAACTTCCTCAGGTTCAACTGCGTTGCACCAGGAATTAATACCTCGGAGTTCCATAAAATCTTTTATAATACAAAACCTACAAGTTTGTAGTGGTGTTGATCTGCTTTGTTACATCCTCACTGACAGTATTTATGGAACACCAAATGGAACATTCTGATCAGAAGCTGCAGGCTTTCACTGCAGGCACACAGTACAGAAACAATAATTTGGCTTCCTCCCCCCCAGGTAATCTAGAGATTTTTTTAGGAGCAGGATAGGTGGGGGGAGGCACTCAGGTACCTTGAGACATGAGCTCTAGAATGTGCACTGCAGTTGGAGACCTTTGGCTCTTAATTATAATTCAACAACGCACGTTAAGGTTTGTAAAATATATGTTACAAATCTTTGTTCTCCACCAAACTCTTACTGCCAGTGAGCTGACCTGCCTGCTGCCTGAGCTGTGTGTGACAGACAGGAGTGTCCCCACCCCCGGGAGTGTCCCCACCCCAGGGCTGCAGAGCTCTTACCGATGGCCCAGGGCTTGTCCTCCCCAGGGCCAACCCGACAGGGGTCTTTGTAGTGTGTAAACAGAGAGTGCTGCTGCTCCAGCTTGTCATCTGCAGGGAAAGGACAACCCTCAGAAAAGGTCCATCAGCTGCCAGTCCTGAACCTGTGCCCAGCTGTGTGTTCTGCACCACAGGCTCAGCAAGGCCCCGTTTCTCCTCCATAAATACCCAGGTTTGATTTGAGCCAGTTCAGCAGCAGCTTTACTGCACAGCAGGAGCTCTCCTTGGCCAGAAATCCCAACAAACGCTTGCTAATAACAGTGCTTTCCTACCAAGTCTTTTCTAGGAAAGACCTTTCTGATAGTTTTTAGCTCTAAATTGAAGTGGAAGTTTTCCAGTGTATCTCCTCCCAATCCACTGCATTGCCTACATTGGTACCAAACCCTTGTTGGGATGGGTCACCCAGTGGACAACTGGGCTGCCTTCCAGTGGCAATCCTTTGCCATCTCCTTATTCAGTCATCAATACAGCTGACTGTCCTCCAGCTGCTGCATCCACACCAGTTCAGCTGTCTCATCACATCTTTCCAGCTCGCTCTCAATCTGGAGAACATCCTCAGAACTGCAGGGAGATTGAAAAACTACTTTGTCAGGGAATCCTGGAGTTGTGGCAGGGGATTGGAGGACTGACCCTCCCCAAAGTTTGCAGGTGGACAATGCAGAGAATTGCTTTTTCTGTCTGAACAGTCAATTGGCTTGTTAAATGTTTATGGAAAAGTAAAAGATGAAATCTTGGTAATTTTTTGTTTGTCCAAGTTTTCCCTTGTTGTATCATATGTCAACAGAATTTCCCCGAAAACCAAGATAGATTAAAAATGATTAATTTGCAACTGGGACCATGATAAGTCACAGTTGGTGACACAAAACTTTACCCATCTGATTGGAAAGCATTTTATCTTATGCTAAAAGGTTTAAAAACAAGTCAGTCCAAAGCAACATGACAGTAAGCAACTGTCTAATAACATTTCCACTAAGTGTGAATTCTCTGTATGAATGTTGCCATAATGTTCTGTAAAGCTGAAAACTGAGTTACAGAAAATTTGTCATCAGCATAAGGTCACTCATGGACCTGAATATCTTCAAAAACTGTACTGTCAATACAACTAAGAATAGAAGCTTGGTATTCACTGAGACATTAATTAGCTGCTGTATCAGTCTGTGGAGTGGGAAGGGACACAGAAAATCATAAAGAGAATTACAGGAAGCTGATTATTGCTTTACAAAAACCTAAGATGTTCAATTAACCTATAATGCTAGAAATGTCCCTAAAACAATGAGTAATGTAAAAATGGAGGAGAGAACTTTGAAACACTGCATTAATCTTGCTTAGCACATAAGGAAAGAAAGCAATCTAAAAGTAAAAAATTAAATAGCCAGCTTAATTCCAGTTTCCAGGCTGAGTGCATTTTAAAGGGGAGGGCAATGTAAATAAGTGTCAGAGATAGCAAAAATAAAATAAGTTTTTATAACTTGCTTTTCAACCCTCTTTAGCAGTAGTTGCAATGTTTATAACTATTATTTGCAAAAGCAAATAGTTGGGTTTACCTTTTATTTAAAATGACAGCTCAGAATTGCATTAGTTATACTCTGTGCTTCTTGTGCAAGACCGTGGGTAGGGAGCCAGAACTCCTCAGGTAGAGAGTCCTGAGCATATGTTCTGCCTCCCAGCTTGGCTCCCCTCCCTCCCCATTCCCTTTGGATCTGGGATCTGCCTGGGCACTCTCCCATTTGTTGTGCAGCAGCTCATTTATTTCCTTGATGGACACCTTTGCCTCCAGGCCACTCCACCCCTCCCAACGATTGCCAGTGAAAGGGCCAGACCCCAGCAGGCTTCAGTTTGTGTCCTGCAGCTCCTGCTGCCTCTGCCAGCACTGCTGCTGCTGCCTCTGGGCCAGTCTGGGCAGCAGCCTGGGCAGCTGAGGGGCTGCCACTGACCCCTTCCTTTATCCCTCCTGCAGCCCCTCAGCACTCCCTGCACTGCCTGGGCAGCTGAGGGGCTGGCACTGACCCCTTCCCTCCTGCAGCCCCTCAGAACTCCCTGCACTGCTGCCACTGGACTTTATCCTAAGGTGTGTTTGTCCAGCTACAGCTTCCTGGAGCCACTGCACTTCCTGATCACCTCCACGTGCAGGAGGGATTCTTGTCCCACTCAGAGCACTTGCCAGCACCTTCTCAGACCATTCTGAGTTTACTTTGGGTCATACAGTTGGGACTGATTTACTTCTTGTACAAATGAATTGGAAATGAGTGGCAGAAGGGCTGGGGTTTAGGCTGATGGTCTTTTCTACTCAATTAAATGTTTCTCCAACTTTGCTAAAATCCTCCATTTCAAGTGTCTGATGCAAGTAATGAGATCAGAGATAATAGTGGGGGTTTTTAGATAGACAATGCTTGCTTTTTGCTTCTTAAAGTTGTTTTTGGTGCAGTTGTTGCTCTCTGCCTAAGTTACCTGAGGCTTCTCATAAAGACCACAGAATTCACACTGGATGCTGTTCCACAAATGCACCTGGTCATCCACAGGCCCTGGTCTAAATTGCTGAATCCCTCCTGGAATGCTGCAGCCCCAGCTCAGCTGTCCCTGCCCTGGGCTCTCTCTGGGGCAGCACTTCAGTGACACAAGAGCCCCTTCAGCCCCAGCCAGGCTGGTCCATGTGCCAGCTCCAAACCAGCAAAGAGCTCTGGGATACACAGACACAATGCAACTGAACTGTTAACAGAGCATAACATTTATGTTTGGAAAAGGCTTCTATTTCTGTGAACTCACCACCCATTAATTATGGTTTTGTGGAGTTCTTTTTCTAGTACCCTCAGCATCCAATTAAAGGAAAAACCAGATTTAAAATTTCTCAAAATAAAAAACCCTGAAACTACATAGAATCAGTTAACTTTTTTCCAAGACTGATTCAGCAATGTTGAGTTCTCTCTGCAGCATTAGTCTCCTATGTCTGTGTATATGCACTGTGAAACTATTTTTAACTGCATGAATGTACTTTTTCTCCACAAAAGTCCCATAACGTACATGTCTCTCATTAGTAATTAAAACTGTAGAACAGTAAGTGTCTACCTAATTCAAGTAAAGCTAAACTACTGTATCTGTCCTTATTATTGCTACATAAGTCACAAATTATTGCTCTTTGTGCCTTAAAACCCATCATGCTTAATAACTCCACAGAGCTCATGGGATGAGCCAAGCAGAGTAACTCACACTCAAAGCTATTTTAGAAGTGTTTGTAGCAATTAAGTTTTTCCTTGCAAAAGCCAGTCTTAATACACTGCTGTAGTCCACAGGGAACAAGAACATTCCTATTCCTTTCTGAACATGCAGACACCAGGAAAAGGCAAACCTTGTCTTACCAGAGGAGCAGTTATCAAAGTTGAGATCTCCACAGATGACATCAAAAGCCACCAGCTCCTCTGGATTGGCTGTGCTGGAGGAGGAGGTAGATTTTCTGAATTCAGACAGCCAATCTTGAAGCATATCCAGTTGCTCACATCGAACAGTTGTGTCTCCTGCAGCAAACAGACACCAGTAACCAAACAAGGAGTGGGCCCTCCTGGCAGGGACTCAGCCCCGCGGGAGTTGCTGAGCTCTTGGCAAACACCCTGAGGAAAAGGCTGCAAGGCAGAAATGGTGGCTACTGGTGCACTCAGAGTAATGAACCTGTTACACAGTCATGAGGAACCACACTGAGGATGATTCCAGTAGCTCCTTCTGGAACCAACCTCCCATGCTTGCCTGAAGAAATGAGAAGACAAGGCACCTGTGCTGCAGACAACCAGCCCAAAGGATGATGTTTCCAGCCAGAGGAGGAGCTGAAGCATTACACTGGTGACCAGGAATTTAGAATTAAAATCCTACTTCAGACAAAAGTAGACAATGTTCTGGGGTAAATCACTTCATCTTGCTTTGCTTTCTAATTTTTAAAAATGAAAAGTTTAACTTTCAAGTGTAAATAGTACATATACATCAATGGTAAATTCAATTTACTCATCCTGTAGTAGTCCATCCGAGGAAGGGTTCTATTTGTGTTCAAGTAAGAATGCCTGAACTGGAAGTACTTTTTCATAATTTTAAAGGTATGTGTTAGATACATATTTAGGTAGGTAGGAATTCAGAAATAAAGAACTGGATTCTTTTCACCAGGACAGTGAAAAGAGTGATATAGGAGTGATATGAAAGGGCTGAGATTGATTGGTTGCCAAATAGTTTTTGTTTGTGAAACCATCTGACACACAAAACAGCTCTTTAATTACAGCAACTAACCACACTTAACTTCAAGAACATTAGGTGACATGAAGTCTAATAAAAAATTATTACTGTCTCTCTTTTAAAATGATTACACCAAAAGCTTGATGTGGGGAAAGGAGCAGAAAGAGATACATTCTAGAAATAATTCTTTACCATATCATCTTTCCTTTTCTTTTGTATTCACTGTACTGATAGTTAATAGTTATCATTTTGCTTGTTTCAGACCTGAAAAGATGTATCAAGCCAGAGCAACATTACTTTTCTTCAAAATAAAGAATCTGTTTTCAAATACCACAATCAGAAGGAAAGTAGCTAACCCAAAATTACTTATTCTGAGTAAATTTTATTTTAACTTGATTTACTACTTTGTGCTAGATATTAAAAAGATGTAAGACCTAATTAAAACATCAGTTACATATGTCTGGAGCTGCTTCCAGTGGCCATTATGGAGCTGGTGAATATTGGAGTCTACCTGCACACAGTTCAGTAATCACTCATCTCAACTGCAGCTCTCACCAGCACTCTTTAGACTTTTCAGATGTGATCTCTGCAGCACAGTCACTACCACTACAGCCCTGGGCAGGCTTGGGTTCTCAAAAACATCTCAGGGCAGGGGTGGGGGAAAGATGTTAAAACAACAGTTAAATACAAACAGAAATGTTCAACCAAGCATGACTTGGTACAATGCTAAATAATTTAAATATTGAAAAGAACACGACCAGGGAAAGAGAGTTTTAAGTAGGTTCTTAAACTGACTCATCTCTTCAGGCTGCTAATTCCAACAGCAAATAATCTGATTTTTTTTTCTGCTTGTGCTATTCCCAGCAAACCTTTAGCAGCTGGGCTGTAATATAAAAGCAGACACAAATGCTTCCCAGATCTATCCCCCAACCTGCAGTTTCTAGTGACTCAGGTTCACACTGTACACTACTCACACAGCTTGACACAAATCCAGAGCAGTGTATTCTTGGGAAAACCCCTTGCTATGACAGCACAAGAAAGCCCCACAGTGAAGATGCAGCCAAACAAAAGCCCAGGAAATAGGTCACGTGGAATAAATGCAGCCTGGAGCAGGTGACACTCACACAAAAGGTGTGCGTGACTAACACAGACATTCTGCTGAACCAGAGAGACAGCAAAGCTCCAGAGTCACAGCAAAGCTCCAGAGTCACAGCAAAGCTCCAGATTCACAGCAAGGGTGAGTCCAGGAAAGAGACCTCTGGAGATCATCCAGTCCAACCCTCCTGTTCCAGTGGGGTCACCTACCACAGGTTTGTCATGAACCATGTCCAGGCAGGTTTCAAATCCCCCAAGGTTGAGGACAATCTCTGGGCAGCCTGTTCAGTGCTGAGTCATCCTTGCAATTAAAACCATTTTCCTTTGTTTAAATGGCATTTCAGTTTTCCCCGTGTCCTCTCATCCCATCATTGGGCCCCCCTGAGGAGAGGCTGCTCCCTCTTCCTCACACCCTCCTATCCAGTATTTACACACTTTGACAAGAGCCTTCTCCTCCTGAAGCTGTCCCAGCTTTCTCATTCCTGGTGAAACTTATTCAAGTTGATGGACTGTTCTCCTTCTGAAGCATCTCAACCGTTCTCTCCTCCTGTTCTCTCCTCTCTCCTCTCTGTACTTCCTTCTGGCTCCCCTTGTTTCCTCAGAACGGAGCTTTTAAGCACGGTGCTTGTTAACGAGGATGCAGTAACATCTTGTTCCCCACAAAGTCTCAATTACATAAATTATTTAATTTTCTAAGACTGGCTTTTACATCCCTGAACAGTCAAGGGGTTTTTTTCTCATTTTATGTGAATTATCTGTCATGGCTTCACCAAGAGGAGTAATTAAAAAACCATTACCACATGGGCATGAAACTCAGGCAACCTGGTACAGATCAGCTTGAGGAATGCAGCAAGGCCACTTAACTGAAACACACCACGGCAAAATTCTCCAAAATAGAAAACTCTTGAGAAAAACAAGAGACAGAGAGACAAAAGTACTTTAGGAGGATGTTGTGTCTGATAGCATGCATAATTGTTACTAAAAAGGTATTAACTGCATAGTGACAGACATCTCTCCCTGAGGATGCTGAGCCTTTGTAACAGCACTGTCCAGAACACAACCTCAGGGCTCCACAGATAACCAGGAGCCTTGGAGCTCTAGAAAGAGAGGACTTTCATCTCTCTGTAGCAGAAGTGTAGAACTTGTGACAGTCTGGCATCCCTGACTATCCCCACAGAAGTCACAAAGGTGATTGCACTTGGGTGCACTGTCAGGAGCAGTGTCAGTGAAATCAGCTACGTTTCCAGGACACAAGATGGGATCCCTCTAATGGCACTTGTTTTCCAAGATAGGTATTACCCAGCTCACTGCAGCTGCTCAGCAGGTACAGCTGTATCTGTATGCAAAAGGCAGACTCGAGTTTTAGCAGCTCCCAAAGAGCTTTGGAGGTGAAAAGAACTCAACTAATCAGACACCTGAGTAAAAGAGAAGCCAAACCCACATCCAGAACAATCAGGGGAACAGATATTTCAGAAGCTGCTACTGAAATGCAATCAGTAAATAGCATCAGTAAATATTAACAGAAGAGAACAGGTAGTAACTCCCAACAGTTATGTTCAACTTCTTAAATGTTCAGACAGAATCACTGATCTGACTGCCACCAGGGATTAACCAGAGAATACAGATTTGTCCTAATTGCTATGTGCTCTTTTCCTCAGTAACTGGCCTGGAAAAATGCACATAATTGTGTTGTGAGTGCTTCCTGCAGTCAGCATTTCCAAATTCTCTGAAAGTTCCTTTCAGCTTCAAATTTTGTGGATGGATGAAAGGGTAATGTGGGAAACCTCAGCCAGCATAAATAAATACTTCTCCTTTGTTAGTTGTAGAATAATCATACTTGCCCTTTCCATTCACTAAAATGCTTAAGTGAAACTCTGGATTTAGAACTGCAGGCAGGTACTACACACTGGGGGAGAACTGTTCTGTCCTACTCTGAATTAGAACAAGCACTGTGGTGGCAGGACAAAGCAGCTACAGGCCTAGTCAGGGGAAATGAAAAGGTCCAGTGGAGGCACTGGTGAGCAATACGGGATGTATTGGCAGGGAACCTGGGGAAGAGGAGCAAAAAAACCTTGTAAAGTGTAGGATGTAAAGCCTAGTTAAAAGGAAAAATTGTTTCCAAGCCCCAAACCAAAGGCTTCAGTTCAGCCATGAGACAGGCTGAACACCTGACTGGTGCAGACCCCTGCACTTGTGACATACTTAATCCAGGGGAGCTGAGGAAACAAACCAAAGTAAGAACAAACCACCCACAAAACCAAAAGAACAACCCCCCCTTTTATTCTGCTGGGTTATTTTGAGCTAGGTCAGGTCCCCACCCACAGCACAGCCTGCAGGGGCCAAGGGAGGACCCTGAGAGGAGGGACAAGGCAAGGGCAGGTGCCATGTGGGGACAGTTCAGAGACCTGTGGAACCACTGCCTGAGGGTGCTTAGCATGGAGCTCCTCCTGATGGCACTGCCACAATTCCAACAGAGAGCTTGCTCAGGGCTGAGCCCAGTGCTGAGCTGAGCTCTGCTTCAGCTGGGTGAGAACCTGAGCCTGGTCCATTCCCACCACACCCAGAACAGGGCCGTGCCCAAGGTTAGGAGACACATCCCCACGCTCCAGCACTGGCACTGGGGCTGCAGGAGCTGGAGGCTCACTGGGTATTGGTGGCTGGGTGGGCTGTCCCAAAGCCATCACTCAGTGTGGGTGGATTCAAGGCAGCAAAACCTGCCCAGAACATTAATCACTGACTAATCAAAAGACATAAGAGAACATTTCCACAGTGGGAAGGAAGAGCTGCTTCAGAGCAGCAACCCAGCCCAGGCAGAGAACTGAGAGGGAAAGCCACAGCTAACTGCAAGGTTTCTTGAAAAAGTTGAGGGTCAAGTCTGAAAAAATAGTACTTGCTCAGAACAGAGTTGAGCCATCACATCTCTTGAAAAAAGCATTAATAGCTGGTCCCTGATAAGCAGTTGGATCACTTCATTTTATACTCACAGAAGTATCAGAACTGTCAAGTGTAAGTTTGTGTATCCTAAAGGGAAACCAGGCTGTGCTCAGCCATGAGATGATTTAAATGGCTGACCTTTGAAACAGTGCTAGTTTTTATAGATACCACATCTCTACATTGCTGAACTGGGGTGTTGGGATAACTTTTTAAATGTGTGAAATGTTATGAATTAGATGATGCAAATCAGAAAGCACAGCTCTGCCAAACTTAACAAATGTTAGTTTTCCACTTCATTACAGAAACAAATATAATATATCTAAGGACAGACTCTTAAATCATTGTCTGCTCTATTTCAATGTATTTTGAACCAGATAAGCCTAAAAATGCAAAGCATGAAATGAAAAATTTTGTTTTACCCTTGAAGAAGCTTTAGGCTGACTTTGAAAATAGAACATTGCTTCCCCCCATCCTCTTCCTCTTTAATATTTTAGGGATTTCACAATCTGGTTATCAAGGACTGAGAATTCAAGACTAGGAAGTAAAAAGGAACAGGACTGGAAACTAGAAATAAAAACCAAAGAACCGAAAACTAAACTAGAACAGCAACAAATCTCAGCTTCACAACAGCAATCTCACAGTGCATTACCATAAGTTAAAAATAGAAAAGCAGAGAAGGATGTTACATTGTTAAAAAGAAGCTGAAAAATTCATTAGTCTTTTTTAGAACTCTGCAGTGTCTCTAATGCACTTCAGGGACTGGCAGGTTTGTTCCCCAGCTGCTCTGTGACTGAGGCAGTGACAGGGCAGCAGCACTGGCTGCCTGGCAGAACCAGGACATGCCCAGCACGGGTGGAAGTTCCACCATCCCCAATGTCTGACTGTCCTGCCTGGCCCTGCAGCACAGGGCTGTGCCCAGGCAGCCTGGCAGGGCTGTGCCTGCTCTGCAGCACCAGGAGCACAAGAGTTACAGTCAGATTAAGGAAAATGAAAGATACCCACACCTCTGGCTTAATTAAATTCTGCTCATACTCAAACTAGAGGGTTGTACATTTGGCTTTTATTACTACACTAAGTATGAAACTGCTTTTAAACATGACCAAGAGACTTTTCCAATGAGTGTATTAACATGCTAGCCATTTGAAATTTGAAAGTCAAAAACCAGAGAATTTTGGCTTTTTCCATCAGAAATCAGCAGCTAGAATAACTGTCCCAACTTGTATCTTCTGATTATCCCCTGATTATCCAATACAAAGAAATTTTGGTTTATATGCTACTACTCACAGTATGGGTTAAATGCTGTTGGGTAACAATGACAGTGATGTATTTCTAAAATAACAGTATTTGGTTAAGAGGGAGCAAAGAGAAGAAAAGCTCTCGGATATTTTTTGTTTGTGTCCTATGCTACTTAATTACTCTGAGACTGGAAATGAGAAAGGTTGGGGATACTTGTCTGCCCTTATTTGCAATGCTCCCTGCACTTTGTCAGAAACACAGGAGGAGCAACACCTGCTCCTTTTGCACAGGAATCCCCCCCCAGGGCTGGAAATAGAGACAAACTGAGAGATGCACATGAGGACAGTACCTGCAATAGCTTGCAAGTGAGTGCAGGAAATGTATCCCACGATTCTTTGGTCCTGAGGTGTACTTCCCACTTGCACCTGGAAGGGAAGAAATAAAAACTGATTAATGGAAGAGCTCTTAGAACTCTACTGCCAAAGCCTGTGTGTGCAGCCTCTGTATTGGCCTCTTTCCTCACCCTGTCCAGCTGCACTTTGAAAACACACACACACACAAAGCACCAGAGACACTGCAGCTTCCTGGGATTACTGGGGCTTGCTGCCAGCACACTGACACCTTTCCCAGTTGCCCTGTTCAGTGTTTTGATTTTGATGTGCAACACGTGCAAAAATTTGACTTTCTCCTGTTCTTTGCAGTCCCACTGGTTCTCTGTCCCACTTGTGTTGTCACTCTTTTGCATCCCAGCCCTTGTTCCTATGCCAGATTCAGGCCCACCACTCAAGTGCCATATAAAACTCATATTATCAGCAGCCTAACTGGCTTGGTATCTGTGTACAACTAGAATGCAGAAGGAAAAAATTCCAAGGGAATTTGAGAAAAGGATGAAACATGAAATAAATATTGACTTTGACAATGTTTTCTCCATTCTACAACAAGTTTTAGATTTGAAGGGATTTTTTACATTCTTCTACAAAGGCGTTGGGGACTTTTGGTGTTCCTCAGCAGGGTTTACATCCTTCAGCTCCCAGCAGCAGCCCCCCTGCCTGCCAGGCAGATGAATACAATGTGGACTCCTGCTCTTACACACAGAACAGCCAGGGCTGCCAGGGAAACCAGAATGCAGGAATTCCTCATCTACAGCATATGTTACAATCTTTTTAAAATGTATTTGTAGGTGGACACACAAGTAAATTAGAATCAAGTTCTGGTTTAGGTTTTCAACTTTACTGACAGTTTTGGCTGTTGAGGACTCACACAGCTGCAAATCAAAATTCCCAGTGGTGTGAGGATCAAGTTTTGGATTGTGGAAGGCAACCAGTTTGAGTGTGTGGTTTTCTTGTTGACAGTGAATGTGGCACTACTGCATGGATCAAAGAAAATGCCCACAGAGGAAAGTTGTACCCAGAGCTCAGAAAACGCCATCACAGATAACTCTCCTTCACAAGGCTAGGCTCAAATTTTATCTGACACCTCTAAATAACAAGCAGAGCTCCATTTCATACAGACACAGTTTTGTGAGCTTGGTTGGTTTTCTTGTTTTTCAGCTATCCAAGAACCATCTGATTCATTTTATAACTGGAAAGTCAGCTTTGCAGTAAGTGAATTTAGAAGTCATTTGTACTCAACAATGCCTTGTTATCTTTCGAGGGTTTGTGCCAGCCAGGGGAGTGTGTAATAAACAACTGGCATTATTCTGTCTTCAGTCTGTTCAGTCCTTTTTTAGACCATCTTCCAAATGGATATTGATGGTGTTTTTACTGCTGTTCCCATTCAGCTAACCTGCTTCAGGGAGGGTGAAGGCAGAGGAAAACAAGGAAAACACAGGCAATCACTGCTGCATCTGCTCTTCCATGAGGAGACTGTCCTGAACTGAGGGGATTGCAGCAGTCTCAGAGGATGGGCTGATCTGCTGGGTGGCTGGCAGTGACTGCTGCAGGAGCTTCCCTGCACAGACTCTTCCCTCCTCCCTCAGGCCTGGCTCTGAATGTCTCACTGTCACGGGGGAATCATAAGGAGGATTCTCTCCAGCTTTTTTTATGCAACATATGCCATTCCAACAGAAAAGTGGGAAACAGTTTATTTCCTCTGCTATCTAGGACAGGCAGGTGTAGGAACTATATTTTCCAAAATTAGTAATTCAAAATCGGGGTTTCTCTTCAATGCTGCAAACTATAAAAAGTCTCCACCAGTGTACTGATTTGAGTGCCTCATGCTGCAGGGAACAAGTGCTCCTGTCACATGCCCTTCAGTGCCACCCACAGCAAGCACACTGAAGGGAAAACACTGCCTGGAGAGTGCTCTGCCTTACAGCAGGAACGTGCTGCTGGTAATCCCCTTATTGACTAAAGCAGATGGAATAATCTCAGCATCTCTATCCAAAAAGCATAAAAGATTTAAGTCTAAAAGCTGAACATCCAAATGTAAATCACAGTCAGTTGAGAAAAAAAAGTCAACTCAAATTGGCTTTAGACTCTCCTGTGCAGCCTTCATGGAGTGCCTGGCAAGGCCTCGTGCCCATCACCCATCTGTGCCAGGATCCCACATTTCCATCAGTCACAAATAACTGTGGATCGGGCGGGTGCCCACGGGCACAGCTCTGCACTGAGATGGACTCAGTGTCTCCCTGTCCAAGAATGCCAAGGATGGCCCAGGATAGAGCCTGGCTGTGCTGGAGAGAGGGGTGAGGGCAGCACAGGCCCCTCGGGGTTGGCCCTGCAGGGCCAGAGCCCAGGGCTCTGCACACCCAGCCCGGGGGAAGGGAGGGCTTTGGGAACACACTGGTACACACAGAGCTCAGGAGCTGAGCACATCAACTTCATCAACATCATCACAATGTGCCTGCATGGAAGTGCATCCCGAGCAGCTTGTCTCCCGGATTTCACATCTCCTCCAGCTTTTTTTGGCTTCGGGGGGTTTGGGGTTTCTTTTCAGTGGCAGTATTGATGGAAACCATGAAGCAGAGTATATCTGGTGTATAATCATAATGGAGGTAAATATTTGTGACCACTACTAGGGAAGTAAATAAATACCTTTGCAGGGTCCTCATCAGTTCCCAGCTACAGTAGAGGCACTACTACATTAAATATGATCTGAAGTAAAATAGTAAGAAAAATCTGTTTATTCAATCTAATTTGGTATTTCACAGATGGACAAGGACTATGGGTTGTGCAGACAGGAAAACTACTTGACCTCTGGGATATTACAAGCCCTGTAATTCTGCATAAAAACATTCTTTTGTGTGGCCAACTGCTGTAGCTACTTTTAGACTGTTCCATGTCCCAGGGTATGTTATATTGTGGTGACTCAACGTGGCAGTCACAGAGGACAACGCTGAGCCTTCAGTCCAGCTGCAACGTGGATCTTGGCACAAGGGTTCTGCTTCCACCACACCAACTCAGCACTTCACAAGCATCATTTTTGCTGCTTAACACAGAAGAACTCTCTGAACTCACATTTACAAAGAAAATATATGTAAATAAATAAGCCAGAGTGGCTCCTTCACCATAAGCCTGACTTGAGTTCACCTGAACTGCCCTGCATCAGTAGTTCTGTGTCAATAACACAGGCATTGAATTAACCTTCTGCAGAGAAATACTTCTGATACTGATTTCTAAAAATCACCATATAGTCTTAGTTGTGCCATGAACAACTCTTCTATGTCTATGGAAATGTACAGGAAGGTAATATCTAAATATAAAGTCCCAATGTTTTAAAATAGGATAATTATTACAAGGGGAAAAAATCATATGTAATGTCTTATTAAACTATAATGTTACCTAGAGGTAAAATTAAAACTGAGAGAATCTATCTGCAGTTTAATAAAGTGTCCCAGTTATATAATTTTCACATAAACAAATTAGCATTTTTCAAAATTATGCTGAAATATGCAAAATATACTCCAACTTTCACAACATTTGCAATAATCAAACCAGTCAAACACTGGTAAGCTAAGACTGGATTCAGATTCCTGTTATACCATCACATTTTACTTGCTTTTGGGAGGGGGGTGTTAAAAGCTCATCACAGATGGGAAAGAGGCTTTTTCCCTTAATGGGGAAAAAGGGTGTGTTTGGAATCTAAAATGCCAGTTTCTGGTGCTACATATTTACATTTGTCCCCTGCCTGTAAATTAAATAAATAAGTGCAAAACTGACAGCTCTGAATTTTTATTTTCCAAGTACTGACTGTCAAGCACACAAAAGTACTTGACATCAAGTCCTTTCTATTAAAAGATTTCATCTCAATGCCATAGCATAGTAGTACAATCTGTTGGAGAGACCATGCTGGGACGGTTCTGTACTATGCAAAATTCTGTATATTCCCTGAACTGTTTTTCAAAATCCAGTCCTGTATGGACTAAGGAGTGGTTTGCTCTCCACTGAGACTGCTATCAGGTAGTAAATTGCTCATGAAAGAAATCAAGCCAGCAAGGTTATGGCAGAAAGATTCTTGTTGACAAGAAAAAAAAATTAATTAGTAGCAACAATTGCAATTTTAGAGCTACAGCAAGGGAATTAACTTTAAATTCAATCCCATTGCTTGCTATCATGGGAATTTTCTGAGCTAACTGGAAACCCCTGCACATCTCCTGTGGATACCATGCTAGTATAGTAAGTACACAAAGCTGCAAACCTGACAAATTCCTCGTCTCTAACATTTATGTTTACACACATCTGTCCCAGCAGTGCAAACCAGTTCTACTGCATCTGGATGTCAAGAAAAGCATCAACAGATACTTAAACAAAACCCAGAGAAATGCTGCCTCAGTACTGGGGTATTTCAATGACAGCCTGAAAACCAGCTTCAAACATATCATTGCTGTGTTAGTGAATCATCAAATGCTTGGAAGGAAATGTTCTTTAATGATTAAAAATCTGGGCCATGCCATAGATGAGATATCTCACTTGATTAAAGAATCAAACTAGAGTCTCAAATACTGACCAGTAATATGTAGACAAAAACAAAAGGTTTGTTTTGAGGAGAATTTAACCTTTAGTGACATTTTCTAGAAGCTTCGCATTGCCAGGAGGGAGCCATTCAAAAAAACCCAAAATAAAGCAGACAGTTTCTTAAATGTGTACCCTTAAAACGAAGGGTTACATACAAGTCCAAGCATTTGCCATTGCCTCTTCCTTCAGGGGAAGCAAACCATGCTATGCAAGCAGGAAGAGAGCTAAAATTCTGGTAAACTCCTAGAAAAGGATCTCCCCAGAGTCTGTCACCCCACAACCTACACACAGCCAATAAAGCCAGGCTGGGAAAGGTCAATAATCTGACTGAAACCCTCAGACTCCCTCAGGAGACACGATCTACCAGCCCAGCTCCAGCCTCAGCCCTTACAATTTAATCACATCTTGGCCTGTAAATGAGCAAAACCACCCATTGCACCTGCTCTGGTGACCATGAAGGTGTCATTTTG